TGATTTTATTTATTTATTTGACAGAGAGAGATCACAAGCAGGCAGAGAGGCAGGTAGAGAGAGAGGAGGAAGCAGGCTCCCTGCTGAGCAGAGAGCCCGATGCGGGGCTCGATCCCAGGACCCTGAGATCATGACCTGAGCCGAAGGCAGCAGCTTAACCCACTGAGCCACCCAGGCGCCCCAAGAATGAGTTCTTTAAACAGGAAATAAGGGGAGGTATTCTATAAATGACATTTCACAAAGGCTTTGAAGGGTGTTTTAAAATTTTTCCAAGGAAAAAGAAAGCTGGTATAACAGTTTGTTCCTATACAATGGATAAGACAGAGCACTGAATTGATTTTTAGAAGATACGCTTGAGTTCATGATATATTTTGTATAGATTTATTTGCATTAAGGAATAGTCATTAGAAGAACTGTTGGATTATTGTGATAGCATCATAACTGACATCCTACCTGCAGTCCCTACCCCCCCACTCCCCCAGTTCTTCCTTTCTTCTGATACTATAGTAGGCATGTCTGGTCAGGTCATTTTTGGCCTAAAATCCTTTGCCTTCCTAACATTAATAGTCATGAAGTTCAAATATTCTGGAGAGTATAAGACCTTACAATATTTAATTTTTGACCACTTTTCCAGCCCCTTTAGTGCTTATTTTCTTGAAAATCCCTCTGTATCTTGCTCTTTGCTTTGCTTTGCCTGGAGTAAGGCAGTAGAGTGACCTTCTTCTTCTTTTTTTTTTTTTTTAATTAGCATATAATGTATTATTTGCTTCGGGGGTACAGGTCTTTGAATCATCAGTCTTAACACAGCTCATAGCATAGAGTGACCATCTTAACTGAAATGAACTCCTGATTACTAGTTGGCTTCTAGTCCATTTACCTGCAGTTTTCCTTCATGCAGCCACAAAACTTTGTGTCACTGTTAACATTTATCTTATGATTATTTATGAATATGTATTCATTCATTTTAAAAGCATTTATTAGGTATTTATTCTGTGCCAGCTGCTGTTGGACTTTTCTCTCTTCCCCCACTCACCCCTGGACCTTGACAGCTTGCCCTCTTTCTTTTTTGTATCTTCAATCTCTGGTATAATGTCTTAAACAGGAGGCATACCATCAATATTGTTGATGTTTGTTTCATTAGAAACAAAGTTGTTAATTGTACTGAATTAAAATATGGTCAAAGGGATTTTTTCCTTCTGGTCTTACTAAGGTATAATTTATACACAATGAAATTAACCTATGTTTAGAGAATAGCTAAATGAGTTTTGATAATTATATATAGTCCTATAACCAGATGGTGAATTTTTAAAACCTAAATTTTAACATGCTTTTACTGTATTGTTTTTTTTTTTTTTTTAAAGATTTTATTTATTTATTTGACAGAGAGATCACAAGCAGGCAGAGAGGCAGGCAGAGAGAGAGAGGAAGAAGCAGGCTCCCCTAGAGAGCAGAGAGCCCGATGCGGGGCTCGATCCCAGGACTCTGAGATCATGACCTGAGCCGAAGGCAGCGGCTTAACCCACTGAGCCACCCAGGCGCCCCTACTGTATTGTTTTTAAAATCATAACCTTTTTTCTTTTTAAAATTTATATCTATATTGTTATTAATTTTATGCAGATCTAATAGGAAGTAGGAGAATTTTTTTCCTTCTTATTTGTGAGCTATAGAACCACTTTTTCCTTGCTATAAGAATAATAATAAAAGGATGGAATTTGTATAGCAAATACAAGTAAAGGGGTACTATAATTTTTTTTATAAACTGGGTTCGGACAACTGAATTTTAAAATACCAACATTTTATTTTTTTTTAAAGATTTTGTTTATTTATTTGAGAGAGAGAGAGCGTGAGAAGGGGGAGGGTCAGAGGGAGAAGCAGACTCCCTGCCGAGTAGTGAGCCTGATGGGGGACTCGATCCCGGGACTCCATGATCATGAACCTGAGCTGAAGGCAATCGCTTAACCAACTGAGCCACCCAGGCTCCCCCAAATGCCAGCATTTTAATAAGTTACCAGTTGTAGGCAGAATGGAAGCCATCAAAGACCCTAAAATGTAATTTTTTTTCTCTCCTCTTACCAAAACAACCAAAATAGTCTGTCTAAAGAAAAAGAAAAAATAGCTTTTAAAAGTAACTTTTAAAATCTCATTTAAAAAATAACTTCTTTTGGTTCACATTCTTTGGGTATCAGATAAAATCTTGGATTTATTCTTCTGGAGAAACAGTTATGGGCACAAATTTTTGCATGTAATTTCAGTGTTTCCTAACTCCTGATGTTCTCTTCTTAAAAAAACCTAATTATTATTTTTGTGATGTTGTCTTATATTTGTAAATTCCTTAATAGTATTTATCCCCAAATTGAAGAAATGACTGTTAGAAGTCTTCTGAGGACACTTTCTGGAGATTATAGCTAGTCACAGTATTTATTTTCTCATACATACGTTCTGTGTTGATGATGGTTACCTTGTATCTGAGAGTGACCATTGATTTGGTGTGTTGGCTACTTTGAATCTATCAGTGCAAACTAGGGCTACTGCTTCTCAATCTTTAGCTTGCCCTAAGAATTACTGGAGAAACTTGTTAAAACATGTTCTGGTGGGCCCCACTACCAGGGATTAATTCAGTTAAGGTTTGTAGAGGGCATAAGACTTTGCATTTCTAAATAAGCTCCTAAGTAAGGCTGATGTTACTAGTCTGTGACTCCACTTTGAGTAATACTGTGCTAAATAAAGCTAATCCTGGGTTTCTAATACAGGAAAGCTTTCTTTAACAGATTTAAAAAGGTATATGAAAGCTATTATCATTGGCTACAAAGTTTAGTTAGAGGTTCTCTGTTTTGTGTTTAGGGGAAGCATTATTTTAGCTCAAGAGTTCTGCTTTTGTTTGTTTTTTACAGAACTTCTACTAGTAATTGGAAAGAACTCTCTAAATGTTCAGTTTTACAAATGGTAAACAGTAGCAGTTAGCTGAAGTACTATTTGCTTCAAAGATCATTTGGATTTTATTCCCCCTACCTTGACATAGGCATGTTAAGATCGGAAATGATTTAAAAAAAAAATGATGATTGGTAAAGATTCATGTTATTTGTAGAAGTTTGAAAGTGTCTTCAACTCTTCCTTAACAGATGAAAAAAATTAGTTTGAGTTATTTTGCTTTTTCAAGAAAATTTTTAAGTATTTCCTTTTTTATATAATGGTGAGGTACTGCTCTTATAAGAATATACTTAGAGAAATGTGTGTCATTAGAAAATAAAAGGATAAAGTGGAATTTAAGATAAAACGAGTTAAACAGGGATAGCAAGCATTATTTTATTGTTTATATCATGATCTTTTACATAAAACTAGAAACTTTAAGTATAAACTTTGTAATAAAGCTATAAATTAGTAAGACTTACTGTATAATAAAATTAATAAAATCTGTTTTGTCTCTCCAGCTTTCATAGTAACCGTCCAAGTAAAAGGTTTTGTATTTTTAAGAAGCATTCAGAAGATCTCAGGTAATTAGCTGGTCTTAAATTCTTTCTATTGAAAAACTATATAACTTAAATTGTATGTATATGACATCTTTATTGAGATATAGTTCATATCCCATTTAATTCATGCTTTAACATGTACAATGAATAGTTTTTAGTCTATTTACAGAACTGTCCAGCCATCACCACAGTTAATTTAGTACATTGTCATCACTCCAAAAAAGAAACTCTTGTACTCAATTAACGATCATCCCCATTTCCTTCCAACTCCTCCCATCCCTAAGCAACCACTAATTTTTGTTTGTATGGATTTATGTATTGTGGACATTTCATATAGATGGAATGATACAATATATGATCCTTTGTGACTAGCTTCTTTCACTTAGCATATTTTCAAGATTCATGCATGTAGTAACATGTCAGTACTTCCATTTTTTTATTGCTGAATAATATCCCATTGTATAGATCTACCATAGTTTATCTGTTAAGGTTATTTTAATTTTGAAGCCATTATAAATATTGCTGCTATAAGCATTTGTATGCAGGTTTTTGTCTGGAATTGTCTTTTCATTTTTCTTGTGTATATATGTAAGATTAGGATTTCTGGGTTATATGGTAACTAACTCTATGTTGAGCCTTTGAGGACCTGCCAAACTGTTTTACAAAGTACCTCCACTACATTCCTACAAGCAGTGTGCGAGGGTTCCAGTTTCTTCACATCTTTGCCAACACTAGTTATTATCTGTTTTGTTTTGTTTGTTTTTTAAGATTTTATTTATTTATTTGAGAGAGAGAGAGAGATAGCAAGAGTGGGGTTAGGTGCAGAGAGAGAGAGAGAGAGAGAGAGAGAGAGAAGCAAGACTCCCTGCTGAGCAGGGAGCCCAATTTGGGACCCAATCCCAGGACCTTTGGATCATGACCTGAGCCAGACACAGATGCTTAACTGACTGAACCACCCAAGCACCCCTATCTGTTTTTGATTACAGCCATCCTGATGGGTGTGAAGTGTTATCTTTCTGTGGTTTGTTCTAATTTTTTAAAAACTTGATGTTGGGAAGCCCAATTTGGAAATCTAAATGATTGCTACTGGATGTTAGAAAGTTCTATCCATTATATCCTTAGACTAGAGGTATGATTAACCTATTTTCTCTTGCTAAATTTCACTGGTGACAAGTGGTGTCAAGATAGCTTTGTGCATTTATATTGTGTAGTGAGAACAAAAATAAGGCTCTCCCACAATATTTGAATATTAAAAAGATACCTAAGATACCTAGTAAAATGACTAATACTTTTTTTTTACTTTTGAAGTACATTTCTCAAACCACTGAAATGCTTGAGCACCTGGGTGGCTCAGTGGGTTAAGCCTCTGCCTTTGGCTCAGGTCATGATCTCACGGTCCTGGGATCGAGTCCTGCATTGGGCTCTCTGCTTCCCTTTCTTTCTCTGCCTGCTTCTCTGCCTACTTGTGATTTCTCTCTGTCAAATAAATAAATAAAATTAAAAAAAAAAACTGAAATTCTTGAAATTATTAGGTAGTTTAATAATCCTTATTTTTCCTTTCTCAAATAAAGAGAGATGAACAACTTGTTTACTGTGCAGGAAGAGGTATTGATGAATATTTCTAAAGACATTGATACTTAACTTTGTACCACATGCTAAACTCAGAATCCATTGAGCACCATTTTTAAAATATTCTTCTAAATTCTTTGGACTCTGTTGTTCTTTATATTGTTCATGTTGCCATTGCTACTTGAAATGTCAGTGTCTTTGCTATACCAAGCTAATATATAGAGATAAGATTACCAGTACTTGTCTTCGTGCTTTGAGTTGCTAGAAAAAGTGGGAAAGGGATGATGTTATTTTTCAGGACCTTTGTACATATTAGTCCCTGTGACTAGTTTTGTTCCCCAGATTTCTGTATGTCTTCCTTTATCTACATTGGGCTGCTACTCTGATCAGAGTGACCCTTTCCTTGACCACTTGATTTTTACATTGTATCTTCTCCCCTGTGCTTCACCCCAGCACTTCCTATCTCCTTTTTATTCTACATTTTTATCCAGATCATCTTTCATCATCTGACATACTATGTACTTTACCTTTTAAATTTTTCTGTGTCCTCTCACTAGAATATACATGTAGTTTGGATTTTTGTCTCTGCCAGGCATTGACTAGTGCCTGGCACGTGGTAGGCACTCAGTAAATATTCACTGAATAAGTTAATGTATATGTTGAAAATGACTTATATGAACTGTAGGTCCCATCTATGATATAACTCATAGGGATCTGTAGCTCACAGGGAGAGAAAATTTTGATTTAGTATTAAAAAATATTAGTATAAATTTTAAGACATTTACTGAATTCAAGGAAATGGGTTAAGATTATATTAGATGTTGCCTTTACTGAAAATTTTTATAAGAATAAAAAGGGTTGGAGTGCCTGGGTGACTCAGTGGGTTGGGCCTCTGCCTTCGGCTCAGGTCATGATTTTGGGGTCCTGGGATCAAGTCCCATGTCGGGCTCTCTGCTCAGCGGGGAGCCTGCTTCCCCCTCTCTTTCTGCCTGCTGCTCTGCCTACTTGTGATCTCTCTCTCTCTCAAATAAATAAATAAAATCTTAAAAAAAGACTAAAAAGGGTTTTTTCAAAAGATGAGATTTTGGTTTGATTTTTACCTTACTGTTGTCAAGCTCAGTTATGTTTGTTTTTTTAAATGAATTATATGATTTTAAAGATCTGGAATACTTCTCTTTCAACTGGAATAGGTCTAAAATAAAAAACTGGTCAATTTCTATGAATGGACATAGCATACTTAAAATTATAGAACAATAATTTTTGTGATTACTCTTGTTGGAATGGAATATTCATTCTTTGGCTATTTATTATACATCTGTCAGGTACACAATATAGCAGGTCTTATGAAGATGAGAGTGATGAATAAGTCTTGAAACCAACCTTCAGAGAATGTATAGTTTATTGGGTGGGAGATAAGGGGTGAATGTACAAAACTATAATAAAGCAAGGACAACTTTTACTAAGTGCGAAAGGGGAGAGAGATAACTTGGAATGATCTGCATAGCTGTTAGGTATACTTGGTTTTAAAGAATGAACATTATTTAAACTGATAAAAGATGCACAGAGTTATTTGAGTTAAAAGAAATAGCGTGAATAAAGGTGCAGAAATGAAAAAGTAGAAGGCATACAGAGGGAATGGCTAGTAGTGAATGGATGGAGCACGAAGTTCAGATAATAGTAATAAGATTGAAGTCTGGAGGAATAGTTTTAAGCTTAGAGCTAGATTGCGAAAGTGTTGAAAATAAAGTTAAGTAGTTTGGACTTAATTTGCAGAGCATTAGAGAACCTTTGATATATAGAATCAGGTGATCGTGAAGGAAGTTTCAGTAGTAGGGTGAGTAATAGATGCATGAATCCTATAGATTAGAACTATTGTGGTTATGAACAGATTGTTATGAACAATTTAGTAGGACCTAAGTTAAAATGATGAGGCAGTATTATATCATCTTTAAGAATATAGGGTCTAGAATCAAAGTGCTCAGTTTCAAACCAAGTCCTGACCTTTATCAGCTCTGTATCCTTGGTAGTTTACTAAGCTAACTTGATAAAAAGGTGATAAATTATAGCAACTACCTTTTTGGGTCATTACAATATTTATTTATTTAAGATTTAGCTATTTATTTGGGAGAGAGAGAGAAAATGCGAGTGGGGCGAGGGGCAGAGGGAAAAATCCCCCAAGCAGACTCCCGGCTGAGCACAGGCCCATGCAGGGCTCCATCCCACAACCTGTGAGATCATGACTTGAGCCAAAACCAAGAGCTGGACACTCAACCAGCTGAGCCACCCAAGTGTTTTGAGTTGTTAAAATATTTAGATAAGATGATACATCTACAATTCTTAGACTGGTACAATGTAAGTAATAAATATTATCAAATGCTTGCCATACTGATTATTTTAAGGAAGAAGAGACGGATAACTATAGTTTGAGCTTTACTATCATAAGAAAAACCAGCTAGGAGTAGGTGATTTGGGAAGGAAGTACATGATTTTAGTTTAATGTAGGTCAGTTTTGTTGTGCTAATGTGGCATCTAAGTGTAGATACACAGCACACTTAGACTAGAGCTTCAGGGGAGAAGTCAATCTAAGGTATGTTACTCACTTGTATTTTGTGTATTCCCAAAACTTTTAAATTTTAAAGCATGTGATGAACTTCAAAACCATATTTGTGTTCTGTTAATAAGTTGACAGTAACAATGATCACATTACATGGTCTATTTTTTTTTCACCTAAGCAAAAATAACTTATAAGCAGGATTCCAAAGAATCTCATGGACCCCTAAGAGGAGGAGGTGCAACCAGAACAAATAAGGGAATTAGGATCATTTAGTAACATGGCTTCTCTCTAGTCTGACCTGCTGAGGCAGGATGATCTTGTCTTTATTATTTTCTCTGGACTTGGGTTCCGTTTTCCTTTTTTAGTGCGGACCAGCTTTCTCTATTGATCACTTGAACATACTAGTCCCAGTCTCCCACATCTTTCCAGATCAAGAAATTTGCAATTTTACAAATCCTTGTTTAGTGAAGGCATGAGTTAGGCACTCCATCCCTGGTGCAAGTAACTATGACTAGTGGAATAGTAATTTAGCTACTACTTACCATTGAGACTACTTTTGATTTCTGCAGGAGCAGTTTGTTAATAGAGAAGATTATATAATTAGTTATTAAAATTAAGCTTTTAGATTTCACTTAAAAATATTCCATTTAGATGTCTAGTACATTTTAATAGTTGCTTTCAAGAGGACTTTTAATTATGTTTGATAAAAGTTCATTTAAGTTAAATAGACTAAATTTTTTAAACAATAATATTTACAATTCAAGTTCCTTAAACAGCTTAACATCATTTATACATTTAATATATTTGATTTTCTTTTAAACAGCATTTCAGATGCTTGACTCACAAGATCCAAAGTACTTAGTCTAGTAAATATAATAAACATATAGTGGTTTTCTAAGTTCTCTGAAACATTTCCATATTTTTGTAGGGTTAATAACATTTTTAAATACCTTTCAACAAAAAATCTGAAGTTTAAACACAATTTAAATTAGAATCTGAAGGCCATTGTTACATCCTATATGTCAGTTGATATTTCAAATAGCAAGTACTACAGAGTCTGACCCAATGAGTATAAAAACTATTCCTGAATTCAAATTATTGAATGTGGGAATTGTTTCCAAACATTTTTTAAAATTTATAATCACTAGAGATTTCATTTAGGAACTATAGCATTCAGTGAAGTTATGTTAAGAAACAAGGAATTTAGGTCCCAGCAATGCACCAGTTGACCGTGCTGGTATCCTGAGGACCAGGCTTTGGACTTCTGTAGTGAATTAACTACTTTAATAATTACTAAATTAACTACTTTCATTAATTCAGTGTTAAATGAGAATAATGAGAGTAATTAAGCTAAAAATATATGGGAATACCTTTAACACATGGTACACAATTGATGGCAGCTACATCATCATCATTAACGTTTCTCTTCTAATTTTTTCATTACCTAAATAAAATACTAGATTGTACGTTCCGTTAGAGCACAGACTGTATTTTTTGGTCATCATTATAACCACAATGCAATATATAGTACAATATATGTAAAGGCAGACTCAGTAAATATATATTGAGTGAATTAATACTGTATCCTTGCTCTACAGATGAACAGAGGCACAGATCGATTGTGACTTGTTGAAATGACACAAGTTGTTAGTGAGGCCAGGGCTGGGCTGTAGATCTCCTGTCACCTAGTTTTTAGCATGCGTGGTAAAAGTTTATAAAACAAAAATACTTTCTGTAAATAAATTTGATTATGGCTATTCCATTTTCTAGAGAATCATTTCAGTTATATCAAGTTTTATAACAAAAATGAGAGTGACAGTTATGACATAAAAACCAAATTATAGAAAAAAATCATTGAACTTGTGTATGGATTTTTATAAAAGATAAAAACATTTTCTTTTATACTATTTGCTTTTTTTTTTTTATAGGGGCATTACTCTAGTGTGCCTTAATTGTGATTTCATAGCTGATGTTTCTGGCTTAGATACTATGGCCACACACTTAAGTCAACATGAAACTCATACTTGTCAAGTTGTATTAGAGAAAGGTATGTATATATAATTGTATTGCTTTGGATTTTTTATATTTATTCTAGTATTTTTGGTCAGCCACAATATGAGCTCTTTACTAAATCGTTATTCTCACTCATCATATTTCATGTGCTCTTTTAAATATAAAACTTTTCTTCTAATTTCAGTTTCTGTTTGTATCCCAACTTCTGAACATCTTTCTGAGTAAGTTTAATTTTTAATTCAGTGCATTTTACTTTGGTGGATTTTAGCACTATTGCATTTTAAAATGTATCATTAAAAGAAATGAAAAATATTAAAGTATTTTGTTTTTTTTTTTTTTTTAAAGCTGCTTGTTGAAATAGGTTCCTGCTCTTTGGAGCTCGTGACCTGGTGCAAGACAAGTTGGAATTTCCTAAGTTCAAAGTTCTGAGATGTTTTCTTACACAAAGGCAGTTAAGCAGCCAAGTTCATGACACTAGCTCTCATTATTCAGCAAATTTCAGCTTCAAATGGGACTAGATTCTTATTCCACCTTATCTTTGTGTCAGGTTGACATATCTTAACATATTTTTTTTTAATGGTTTTTTTGGTTTTTTTATCCCCCCAGTTGGCTCTCTCCAAAAATAACTTTTGTTGCTATGGTCATTTCTTACTTTGCTTAAAATAATTTGTGTTTTTCTCTGCTGTACTTGCCTTCAGAATAATACATTCCAAATGATATGGCTGTTTGTCTAATTGTTTGTTTTGTCTGCTTTCTTAATTTCTTATAATCTTAAGTTTTTAGGCCAGATGATTGTCTTTTTCCTCATCCGTTGTCTGTCATTGTGCTATTTTTCTTATTTTTCAGATGCAGAGGCAGCCCAGAGATTTCAAAAAATGTCCAGGGTACACCTGGACAGTGTCCCCCTTCGACGGACACAACTGATGCCTGTTCTCTCTTTTCAAGGAGTGTGAATAATTTGACTGTGGGACCTGCTCTAGGTTGTGGTCTCAAGAAATCAGATTTTGGGGAGACTCCCTTCCTTCATGGCTGGCCTCCCGTCAGGCTGATGATGATTTAACCAGAGATGGTTTCAAGCCCCACCAAATTGAGCACAACATCCCACTGGGGGCTTTGGCTCTTGATCTTAAGCTTGTGGGTCACTTGTGGCCGAGAAAACCCCATCAGATCAGTGCTTCAACATCCAAGTTGAAGTGTAGTCATTTTGGCTGCTGCCTTTTAATCTTCATCTAGCATGAATGCAGTCCAAGAAATACAAAAGCTCTCTGGTTGTTAGGAAACCATGGTTATTTTCATGTCCTTCGAACAACAGGTCTCTAAAATTATGTTCCAAATTGCAGTTATTTTTTTATCATTTAAAATATATTGCCCAGTACTAACCTTCTAGTTTTTTAGGAATACCAATTCTCAGATTTTTGAATTTTAAAAATTTAATTTTGGTAACTTGGTTTTATGTTCTCCAAATTTACTGATGTCTATTTTATGATGTCTATTTTTATATTCTTTTCTTTAAAACTGTTGTTTAGTGTTTGCTTTGTTTTGTTAAGAACTCCAAGAAATTCTTTGGGATACTCTACAGATTCCCTTATAGCTGCCTATTTATAGTTTTTCATTTTGGCTGTTGTTCAGACCATTCAACATTATTATATCCTCTGTCTTACTTTGGGATTATTATTATCAATATTATCTTAATAATTGTGGGTTTTAAAGTGTAAAGAATTGGCAAAACCTCTTCTTGCAGACCTTAAAGCAAGTTTTGAAGTCACATATTTGTACATCTGATACATAATAGCCACTTAATCATTAATGTAGTCTCTTTGGGTAAAGGTAACATTAAAAATTATGGGGGCCAATAATGTAGTTGTGATATAGATATATAGATATATAGATATATATACACATACATATGTGTATATATGTGTATATATCCTCATATGTGTATTTTAAGAATTTGACATTTGTTTTAGTTACATTAAATATAGATCTACTAAATAATTTTGATGCTATTAATTTCTTTTAATAAAAAATTATATTGTTTAAGTGCCTCAGGAATTATTTACTCATAAAGAATTCATACAAAAGCTATAGGTTTATCATATAAATAGGAGGATTGCTTTAATTATTTTCTGGAGGCCCTATTATTATTTGGCCTACAAACTGAAAGCTATATCTACTTAATACGCCTTATATGTTTTCCTCCAGAACAATTGAAAGGTCACTATACTATTCCAATTTCTTGAATCTTAAAGACAAGCAAAATGCCTTATGTGATCTTACCTGCTGTGAGGACAGGCAGGCTCTGAAAGTATGACTCAGTTATGTTTTTTACTCTAAAATCAGAACTTCTTTAATTTTACTTTGAAAGAAATTTAAAGCCAATTTTGATGACTACATATTATGTAATGTGCTCCTTGCAAATAATAATCAAAAAAAGCTGAATCCACTAGTCTTAAATTTCCCAACTAATTATTACTGTAAATGAATGGTTTTCCAAAAGCTCCCAAAGTGGCTTGTTTCTTAATAAGTGGACCTGGTGATATACTAATCTTTATTTCCTTATCTCTAGGATGTTTTGCCATTCACCCTCTTTCTACCCAATTTTAAAGAATAATTTAAAATTTTGCCCAGAAGCAACAACTTCTTTCCATTTGTAACAGAAGTTTCTTTTTCATTTATAAATCCTTGCTCAAAAATATGATAAACTACGTTCTTGTTGAACTCCTACAGTATAGGAGTACTGGTTTGTGTTCTTTCCCAGGACTCTATTTTATAGTATTATCAAGTTCATTTTCTTAAATTTTAAACTCTTAAAAGTTCTATCACATATAACTTCCTTATTAAGAAGTTGGTATAAATAAAACACTTAAGGCAGTTGGTACAAAATTTGCTTGTAATAGGTAGTTGGTTGAATTTTAATTTGGTGCTGATGATGAGTTTTAGTTTGGGTCTGATCCCTCCTTTTTTTTTTTTTTAAGATTTTATTTATTTATATGAGAGAGAGAGCAAGTAAGAGAGAGCATGAGCGGGTAGAAGGTCAGAAGGAGAAGTAGACTGCCTGCAGAGCTTGGAGCCTAATGCGGGACTAGATCCCAGAACTCTGGGATCACGACCTGAGCTAAAGGCAGTCACTTAACCCACTGAGCCACCCAGGTGCCTGGGTCTGATCCCTCCTTACCATCAAGTTTATTTACCTGATCAGAAATTGTCATTTTATGCATTTGTGGTTTTGGTTACTGCCAAATAAAAAGTGAAGTTGGTTTTGTTTGAATCCATTACCATTCTTAGAAATGACTCCTAAGCTATAGAGACTTAGGATTCTTGCCATATTATTGTCATATTTTGGCAAAACACCATGCTGCTTCAGGCCTCATTTATTCAGTGATTTCTTGAACATCTACTTTGTGCCTAGCACCATTCTAGGTGCTAGAAAAATGGTCTGAAATCTCTCCTCCTTGAGCTCATGTTTTATTCAGTGCTGAAAGACAGACAATAAAAAGTAAATAAAATACACAGTAAGTTAGATTGTGGTCAGAACTGTAGAGGAAAATAAAGTAGGGAAGGGGGAGAAGGAGTACAGGCTGAGATTTGGGATGCTTCCATTTAAAACGTGGTAGTCAGAGAAGGCCTCACTGAGACATGACATCTGGGTAAAGACCTGAAGAACTGCAAGGAAACTGGGTTGGCCACAAATGAGTGAGCAAGAGAGAATAGTAGGAGATGGGGGCTGTGAGGTGATGTGGGCCATGTATGAATTTGGCTTTTACTCTGAGATAAGAAGCCATTCATTAGAGGATTTTCAGTAGTGAGTCTTGTATGCCTCAGTAAAAACTACAGTCAACAAAAAACCATAAATAGAGAAGAGTGCTTATATTACTTTAGCCCCTGTCTTGAAAATGAACTATAGAAGACCAAGGGCAAAATCAGGGAGATTAGTTGGGGGGCTATTGTAATACTCTAGTGGGAGATGGCAGGGGATTGATTAGGCTAGGCAGCTAGCAGTGTGGGTGACAGAGGTTTGATTTTTTTATATATTTTGAATTTGTTGATAGTGTCAATGTGAAATAAGATAAAATGTTGAGAATGACATTATAGTTATTAATCTAAGCAAGTGGGAAAATGGTATTGATATTAATTGAGATGGGGAAGACTGGGAAGAATAAATTTGGAAGGGAAGATGAAGACTTTGGCTTGGGGCATGTTTCAGTTTGAGAGGCCTATTAGATATCCAAATGGAGATGCCATAGTCATTCACTTATATGAACTTAGGGGAATGTTCTAGGCTATAAATATCACAGAACATTTTTAAGTGTCATGGGAATGAATACAAGTAAAACCAGGGAAATGTGAATAAAATTGGTATATCACTGTCAATATCTTGGTTATGATTTTGCACTATAATTTTGTAAGATGTTATCATTAACTGGACAAAAGGTGCATGGAGTCTCTATGTTGTTTCTTACAACTACATGGAATATAAAATTGTCCCAAAACAAATGTTAAATTAAAAAAAGTCAGACTGTATGAGATTACCAAGGGACATAGTAGAACTAGAGAGAAGGTAAGGTCCACAGATTGAACTCTGGGGAATCTGACAAGAGGGTTAAGGAGATGAAAAGTTATTGGCAGAGGAAACTAAGCAGGAGTGGCCAATGATGTAAAGGGAAAACCGGGGGGAGTGATGGTATCCTTTTTGTAAAGTATGAGTGCAGACATGTTGTAGAGTTCTGGGATTCTTTATTCAGTATTGGTTATACATACGTGTTAAAATTTGTTCTTAGGAGATCATTACAGAATGCCACATATCTGTATCTCTGGTAGCAGGAACTTTTGGCCTTAAAAAAACTAAAAGTCCACGTTCTTCCTCAGCACTTTTAACTTCCTACAAATACTCTCATAAAAGTAATTCTCTAATTCTCTTACATTTTTACAAAAGAAAGTAACTAGGTCATTGTTTCCCAAACTCTGAATTGTGGAACTAGTGTGTCTATAATTTTTAAACTATCTGAGGGGAAAGGTTTCCATGGTCAAATAAATTTAGGAAATGCAAGTTAAAATTAAATAAGTTCTTAATATAGGATTTTTCCTGCTAAATGTGGCCTGTGATTATCAACAAGAATATTTATTTGACCCTGGAATGTTTTTTCCTTCAATACTTAACTAACTTTCTGACATTAATTTCCATCAATTAGTATGTAGAATGCTGATCTAGAGGAATCATTCT